ATTAGGGCTGGGTCGAGTCCAAATTTACTACCCGGGTACCCGACCCCCCTAATACCGGACCCAACCCGGGTACCCACTGCAAATCTCAAGAGTAGGCAACAAAATGTCTGATTGGTAATTGTTTTACTGCAGCCCTGGCTAAAACTAATTAGATCATGCGTTCACTGAAGTTGACTGAAGATTTATCTTTACTCAAACATATACAAGTCAAAAGGAATGTGAGCATCGTCAGAAAGAAATGCAAACATTAGCGACATGTAGTGTAACCACTGAGCTATAATGAGTTTTTGTCATTAAACACTATATCACGTGACTAACCACGGGTCCGGGTAGTCCTGTTGGTACCCGGGTCCTACTCAGGACCCACCCGACCCGAGTACCCGAGTACCCGAGTTACCAGTCCCAGCCCTACTGGAAATTCATTAATATATACAATCTCTATGATAACTATAAATCAACAACCAGACCTGTTCGTCACGGGTGGCATTTCCAGTGGACAAAAAGGGGACCTTTAAAATGGCGTTCTATCTTTCGGGACCTTTGGTCCCCGGGTTTTGGACCTTTAATAGCTAATGCATTTTCTGTATAAAGTATGGTCATATTAATCCTAAGTATTAAGTGTTTTTAACGTATGTTGCTGTCTATTGTGCTATCATATTGCCTTGCAACAAGTGACCTCGTGACATTAAACTCTGCCATACTCATACTATAGTCTGGAAGGTAATTCAAGGTACCGACGTTACTACAATATCTGAAAAACTATAGGACCTACTCCAGTCAATGTTGGTATGAGATCATTAAACAGTCATACATAACTGGATACTACATTTAAAGACAATCGGTGCATGAATAAAAAATCTGTCTATTTAGCTATCACTATATTTCATCAACAACCAGACCTGTTCGTCACGGGTGGAACGAGCATTCATTGTAACAGCCATCTGCATAATACTACCCCTGCGTCACAGGGCCAGATGACACAGTTGAACCAATCAACTCAACTCAAAAGGGTGCACGGGAATCACGCACGCACGAATACGGTGTTAGCGTTGGGCGTCTCATCGTGCGTGATTCCCGTGCACTCTTTCCAGTTGAGTTGATTGGTTCAACTGTGTCATCTGGCCCTGTGACGCAGGGGTAGCATTATGCAGATGGCTGTTACAATGAATGCTCGTTCCACCCGTGACGAACAGGTCTGGTTGTTGATGAAATATAGTGATAGCTAAATAGACAGATTTTTTATTCATGCACCGATTGTCTTTAAATGTAGTATCCAGTTATGTATGACTGTTTAATGATCTCATACCAACATTGACTGGAGTAGGTCCTATAGTTTTTCAGATATTGTAGTAACGTCGGTACCTTGAATTACCTTCCAGACTATAGTATGAGTATGGCAGAGTTTAATGTCACGAGGTCACTTGTTGCAAGGCAATAAGATAGCACAATAGACAGCAACATACGTTAAAAACACTTAATACTTAGGATTAATATGACCATACTTTATACAGAAAATGCATTAGCTATTAAAGGTCCAAAACCCGGGGACCAAAGGTCCCGAAAGATAAAACGCAATTTTAAAGGTCCCCTTTTTGTCCACTGGAATTGCCACATTTACAGACATAACATATAGGTATGACTTTTATCAAATATGTTCAAATGGTTTGAAAGCTTGCTTTGGGTATCTTGTCAACTTGTTTTTAACTTCTGACATAATCAAGTACACACAAATGGCAAAAATGAGCGAGAACGGCAAATGTTTCCAACTTCAGGGGGCAGTCTAAAAGATCAAGTCCTTGACCCAAGGTGATGTCTTTGAACTGACTTTATTTACATATCAAATTAGCTTGGGTCAAGGTATCACCCTGTCCAAGTATTCAACAAGTGCTTCCGGGAACCCTCCAAACCTGGCCATTTTGATACTTTTTAGCTACACTGTTAAAAGTTAAAAGTCCTACAAATGCAAATTTGGAAAGTCTAATTGTCACCTCAATAAAAACAACTGACAAATTTCATAAGTATTACTAAAACCTTGTTCATTCTGCGGATTCTTCGTGAGAAAAGGTCCCTTACAATACTTCCTTTCATAGGTACAAGGATTACAGGTAAGAATGTTTAATGTAAAACAATCAGCTCCGAAACTGATAAATATGTAAATACAATGTCATATAAAGTCCTCTTCAATGAAACCTCATTACATCGAAATCCTAGCGACATCTGCAAATACTTGGTGATATAAATGTTTTGAGACATGCAGACTGTCGATATTAAACAATCATGCAAATACAACCTCGATTGTCCAGTGTTTTATATCTCATTTTCTATTATACGTTCCCTGGATCCGTTCGCTACATCAGCCTCGTTTCTAGCCCGAATAAAAAGATTGATGATAAAAATAGCAGACCAATCAAATTGCACTCACGAAAAACAGGAATTCTTTGCTAAACTTATGACAAGAGAGATTGACATGGTAACGTTCATTCCAAAACGAAGCTTTGATGATGAATAGGTTCAAGGTATTTATTACACCAAGGTATAATACCCTGGAGAATCGAAGATGTGTGCGAATAAGGATTTTGCCGAAACATTTTCTTTATGGACCTTAACTTTGACATTCATCAACTATTGTCACCTATTTCGACTTATCCCAATATTTGGATTGGTTTCCGTTGTCATTTATACAAAACCTACTTTGCCTGTCTGCTATTTCATTAAATATATTCGTAAAAGTAAATGATTACCCTTAAAAACAGAGACACAGGGCTCTGCAAGGTCTTGGGCGGGACAACTCGGTTTTTCATTAAATGGGTTCAAAAGCTAAAAAGCTCCAAGCTTGCTGCGCGAACCAACAGTTGAACCAGTTTTCATTTTCCAGTGACACTGTATTTCTCAGGGAAGCAATGGAGTAGTGAGACTGCACGCTTGCACTGTAACTTGTGAAACAAGATTATGACACGCAATACATGTCGGCATATATTAAGAAAGCTTTTTCATGGTATGAAAAACTAGGTATACAATTATATTTCAAGCAAACATTAGTGAGTGAGTGAGTGAGTATGGTTTTACGCCGCTTTTAGCAATATTCCAGCAATATCACGGCGGTCAAGCAAACATTAATATAAAGTCACGACTGTAACCAGATTGTGTAATGTAAATTTCACGTGAACTAGTGAAACTAAAAGTCCAGTTTTAGGTGAAGACCGTTGAGCACAGCCCCTTTCATTGCAGTGTTATACATAAAACGTATGTCCATGTGGGCTTTTGAATTAGTGAGGAGGTAAGCCACTTTTTTCTGCGTTTTACTCATATCACACGTAGGAGGAAAATCGAAAGTCGCGCAGACATTATATCTCACGCGAGACAGCCCAGAACGCGTATATATCAAAGATTCTGGGCGAATCTGTGAATCTTAGAATTTGGGAATTGAGTGCCCATGACGATCAGAATTGAAAGGTTGACAAGCAATCGTTGTTACATCACCACCTCCATACACTACTGAAGTCTACACCAAATGAGTTGTACCCTTACATCATTATAATCACTGCTACTGTGTGATGCTGACTATAGAAATAGTTATCAATAGTATTTATCACTTTCACAAATATCCTCTCAGGGGGACAATAATTTTATACCACTTCAACCCCCGTCCCGGGCACAGCCACAAACAATCTCAGTTAATAATTACCCAGAGCATTGTAACCGTATTCTAACACACACACACACACACACACACACACACACACACACACACACACACACACACACACCCCACCCCACCCCACCCCCCTCGCTTGAACCAGGCCTTGGCTTGATCCGTTGTTTTACAATAGTAAGAACATTCTTCACAGAATACCAGACGTATGTATTCACAGGCGATGGATTAACGTGGTGCATGCACACCTGTGATGTACTGACGAAAGTGCCTAAAAACGCAAGCTTTTCTCTCTTACCTCACGTAATCCGACACACATTGCGAGCACAGACTTACGTTTCTGTTCATACAGAATAATAAGGCGCATATCACAGTTGTCAAGTCCGGAATGTCAGCCATTACTTCACCTACAACACGTGGCTTTGTACAAAACAGGAACAAATTCTTGAACTGGATCCCAAGTCCAATGTTTCACAGGAAGCACGTTTACACAGTGGTTCATCCTTCTACACCAAGAAAGTTTGAACAGAGAACATCGCTCAACACATACAAGAGACAAACCAAGATCCAGCCAAGCTGTGACAATATTATTGGGGACATGATGAGATGCTTTGGCAGAGATCAGTCAGTCATGTCTTGGCCCCATATACAAATCTTGTTTCTTATTTGTTAACCATAGGGGTTGGTCTATCGATGTCCCATCCACTCGCAAATTCACAACGGTACCTTGACGCCCTCCAAGGCTTCAACACATCGCAGCCATTCCTGATTTTCAAAATCATGATTCGATTATGAAAGGCATTGCTGGTCATCATTTTTGGTTAGTTTTGTTTTTTGTTTACGCCAAAGTAAGCAATAGTCCAGCCATGGTAGGATGAGTGTCATCAAACTCAACTTTTAAAATGAAAATAACTCCAAGAGAATGGAAGTGGAATAGAACTTAGCAAACAACCATTAACAAGTCGCAGGGTCGGGTAGAAGTTCAGGGTTGGTCGATAATAAGAAACATGTGGACTTTTAGACGGGTTAATGTGGTGTTGTTGTTGGCCGACCATTAGATATCCTAGGTCGAGGAGGAGGCTGTGATCTGTACCAGCCTTTTATGTAACAAAAAACATTCGTCTTTAGGTTTTATGTCATAAAGCTCCATCACCACGCCTAAAGGTTCTTTGTATTCGTTAGTCATAGCCGTAATACCGACGAGTCCACCTCGCCTGTCAACATACGTCATGTTTCCGAAGGTGAGAGTGTTGACAATCTTCCACTTGATATTGATCACTTTGATGCTGTTATTGAATCTATCCGACACAGCACACATGTTCCTTGACATAGCCGTAATATTATACCTACGAGTCCACCTCGCCTTTCAACATACGTCATGTTTCCGAAGAAAGACAGTGATCGCCACAGAGTCATGTCGAAATCATCGGTTGTTCGAGACTGAATGTCCCTCGATAGAGAAGTCGAACTTAAGGGCTGACTGGAAGGACTGGTGCAATTTGATGACCGTTGGGGTTGATATTGTCGTCGAGGATGTTGTCTGCTCATGCAACAGTGGACGTACGCTACTCACACTTGAGTTGGGCTACGCGCAGTTTCAACAGAATACACGTGGACACCGTTCTGAGAGTCCACGACCACAAGAGCCTGTCCAGTCCGACTCGATTCAACCATTGAGATGGTCCTTGGATCAGGAACGCCATCCAGCGGTACCACTGTTCGGCACTCACCTGTCTGTCCATGCAGGACGTGGATTTTGCGGGTCTTGTGATCCAGAATGTACACATTCCCATTGTTATCCTTAGTAATTGCATTGGGTTCCTTCAGTTCCTCGCCTCGGACTCCATGGTAGGAGTGTAGCACGGCGCCATTCGTCCCAACCATCACCACAGCCTTATTTTTCCAGTCGCAGATGACCAGCTTCCCATCACTCAACGCCTCCACTGACCGCGGGTACTGACACTGAACGTCGACATAGGAGAGGACGTCTCCGAGGCTGTTAATGACGTCTACTCTCGGGTTGCCGTGAGGTCGACACATGCCTACTACATACGTATCATTTCTCAAGCTTGAGATTGAGGAATAGGGCCTGGTTTGTACGGTTTGGCTGATGTAGTAACTGTTGTTGTCGGCGTCGTCTGCTACAAAAACCAGAAAAGATTGGTTAGGACAGGTTACAACCAGTTGTCTGATAGAATGTGCATAAGTTATATCCCAAGGATCCATGTTTCCGAAGGTGAGAGTGTTGACAATCTTCCCCTTGATATTGATCACTTTGATGCTGTTATTGAATCTATCCGACACAGCACACATGTTCCTTGACATAGCCGTAATACCCACGAGTCCACCTCGCCTTTCAACATACGTCATGTTTCCGAAGAAAGACAGTGATCGCCACATAGTCATGTCGAAATCATCGGTTGTTCGAGACTGAATGTCCCTCGATAGAGCAGTCGAACTGACGGGTTGACTGGAAGGACTGATGTAATTTGATGACCTTTGGGGTTGATATTGTCGTCGAGGATGTTGTCTGCCGAACGAATAGGATTCCCCTGGGCGTGGTCTGAGGGACGCTGAAGAGAATCCCTGGAGACAATATGGCCGCTCTTCAGGTTGTTGTGGTTTTTGTTGTGGTTTTGGTGGTGGTGGAGCGGAAGGTTCTACTGGAGCTGAAGCTTGAAGCCTCTCTAACTTTGCCTCTTGAGGTGTCTCAACCACCTCCTCCTCCTCCTCTTCCTCCTCCTCAGCTATTTTCACATCAACATTCTCGACCCGCAATTTGATCTCTCCTATCTTGACTCCAGCCATTACCTCCTCTACCTCATTAACGAGAGGCACAAACTCAATGGGACTCTTCTCGCTGGAGGACTGAAGTGTCTCCACAGCGGTGGTGTAGTTGGATATCTGCTCTTCAATGTTGTACAATGCTGTGAGTGCGTTTATGGACGAGCTGCTCATGAGCTTGTCAAAGAGGTCCACCGTATCGTGGAACGACTTTATCAACGAGGAACATTCGTTCACTGAGTCAGGGATTCCTTTCTTCTCCTTCTCTATAATATCCGCCAGTTGTTCGGCTACCTCCTTTTCCTTCTGAATGAGACATTTTACGAACTTACTCTTCAAGTCTGAAAAATGTTCTGATATCTTTAAAGCAAGTTCTTCTTTCTGTAACCGGAGTTCCCGTGGTTTTGAGAGCTCAAATTTTTCTCTTGCTCTCTCCACGTCATCTTTGAAGGTCTCCATTTTTGTTTTAAAATCTTTCAACTTCGAGGCTGCGACGTCTGCAGCATCGTTAGTGTTAAGGTGATGGTTTCCACAATCCTTGTGTTCCGCCAAACAACACTGTCCGCACACACCAACACGTTTCAGAGTACAGTAAGCGTCACACTTGTTTACAGGGTGTTTAGTACACTTCTCAGACACTGTGGTCAGGGTCTTTTGTATGGTGTGGACTGCCGATCTCGAACTGCGCGTATTTAACGTCTCCATCAATCCAAGAATAAAGAAATTGTCTGGGAAAGCGTCTGCCCATTCTTTCAATCTGTTTCCATCCGGATTGGCGGGTTTTGTGACCTTTCGACACACGGGGCACGTGAAGGACAGTGTTCGACCACGTGGGACGTTGTTGGCGATGTGGTCTCCCAAACACTTCCTGCAGAAGCTGTGAAGGCATGGCAGTTGCTTTGGCTCCTGGTACGGATCCAGGCAAATACTACACGTCAAATACTCGTCCGAGATCTCGTCAGCCAGATCCATCCTGGCGACAGGGATACTTCAACTGAAAGAAGACACATTGTGTGAGTGAGATAAACTGTAACATCGCATCATCACTGAGGCTGACCACCCGAACCCGTTAGTTGCCACTTACGACAAGCATGGGTTGCTGAAGACCAATTCTAACCTGGATCGAGGGCCGCAAGTATATACGATAGCACACTTCCACATACTGTATCCCCGTCCATCTTTCCAGTAACATGGGATGATGCATGGATGAGTGAGCGAGTTAGGTTTAACGTGGTATTGAATCGTATTTCAGTCATATCACGATATGTCAGCTTAATGTGTTAGTGTTGTGCTGACAAACCTGGAACATAAAAAGGACGAATTTTGGAATTCGAATCCACGATAATAGTGTTCTGTCGCAAATCTGCACAGCGAGCTACGACACTTTAGACAACTGGGGGGCACGAGTGGCCCAGTCGTCTAAGGCGCCGCGATTCGCTGTGGAGAGTTGCGTCCCTTGGGCATGCCAGGTACCTATGATCGTGGGTTCGAATCCCGGTTCGCCCCGATTATGTTTCTAGGTTTGTCTGCACCATACCCGTGCCCGTGGGTTTCACCGAAGTGGTAAACGTCCGAGACCTGTATCACTTCGGGCTTTCCTCCCACATTAAGCTGACACGCCGTAATATAACTGGAATACTGTTAAAAGCGGCGTTAAAACCAACTCACTCACTCACTCACTTTAGACAACTGGGCCATCGTGCCCGAAATCGTACATGAGATTCGTAGATTTAAGTGGAACAGTTGTAATTGTGTATCATGTCATCCTAAAGTGTATAATGTCGTGTGTGCGGTAACAAGCGGAGGTGGGTGGCCGAAGACGTTTTCCACTTAAACACTACGAGCAAGAATATGGTGCCGACAGCCCAAGGTTCTTAACAGGGGCTAATGTGGTAAACGAACCAACGGCACGACTAAGGTACGACTGACTCTCTCTCTCTCTCTCTCTCTCTCTCTCTCTCTCTCTCTCTCTCTCTGTGTGTGTGTGTGTGTGTGTGTGTGTGTGTGTGTGTGTGTGATGCCGATTTATAGTGCTAGCTCACCGAGATTTCACGCCGCAGTAGCGACTCGGGCCAGTCTGATGGCCATTTTTAAGACTGGGTTCCGTCTTAGCGCAAACGGGCATACCTAAAACAATTGTCAACTCGTTGCGTAATGGTTCACATATATTTCCCCATATGTTATATATATTTCAGATACAATTTAAAGCACATAGGGACGTGCGGAATTATACAGTATGATTGAACACATTTAACTGTGTCTTGTGTATATCTTTAGATGCAAGACATATGTAAAATCAAAAAAATTTTATGAGGGATTATTTGACAAAGAACTCGAAATCATACGCCCATTCTGATTGGTTTGTCGTATTTTCGCACAAACAGTCATCGATAGGGGGACGAGTCTTCTAGCAGGTTACGGAAAGGGGCGAGTGGTGACGGAATGACTAGCCTATATCAAAGCCTGGTGAAAAGTAGGCTTGATATAGGCTTGTGGATTCTCTTGCATCAGGAAGATGGTCTTAAGTGATGAATCATTTCTCAACCGATATTTTTCAGAACTATTCTCGACAAACAATTCTTCCTGGTTGAGCAAATAGATACAGCCATCTTGCTGATAACAGCATCTAATCAGCAGTTTTCAGCGTCCCAACAAGGAAGCAGCCCTCATGGAGTGTTTTCAAACAACCATGAATTCACTTTTAAATAATTATATTTATAATGTACTGAGTGATGAAATACTATTTTTATAAAACACTTACATACATATTATTTACTGGATAATTTCCAACATAGTTTTTCACTCAAACGACGTAACACTCAATGATGCTTTGATAGTTTGTGGTTAAACGACGTAGCCGGCAATATTCCAGCTATATGAACGCGGTAAATAAAGTCAGGACCAGACTATCCAGTGACTGACATCATGAGCGTCGATCTTCGCAATTTGGATACGATGACATGCATCAACCACACCAGCTAGCCTGACCACTCAATCCGGTTGGTCGCCTCTTTGAACAAGTATGGGTTGCTGAAGACCAAGTCTAACCTGAATTTTCAGGGGGAAAAGTACCTTATACATCATAAAATAGAAAATTTGACTTAAAGAAAACCCATCATTGACATAGCTTGTGTCGGTGCCACTTATGAACCATAAATATTGTGAGATGACCCCCATGAGATAAACATGTTATTTGACATCAGTGAGTGTGTATGGTTTTAACAATATTTTTATATCGCTACCGCTAAACAACGACCTAAGAGCAACCCATTACGGGTCACGTCAGACCAACCTTTCACGAACTTTGGCCGACCAATGGTTTGACTGACAAGAACACGAAATTAACCAATCAGAAGGCAGCTTTCTCGTGCTTTACGGCACTAATTTCAATTGGCGACTACGCTTCGAAACATATTTTGACAAGTTCTCGATTTAAAATTTGAAACCTGAACAAAAGAACATTCTGGAATGGCTAATAGATGGTCCAGATTTATGGATTCAGTCGTTAAGCCCGCAACTATCGTTCGTAATACCCCGTGTAAAAGTTTTTGAGGTTGCATGATTAGAAATCACATTTCGACTGTCACTTTCATAATCTGGTAAACGACGCTCTGATTGGTCGGATAAAAGGTCGTTCTGACGTGACCCCTAATGGTATGTTCTCAGATCTTTGTTTAGCGGTAGCGAGAACTAAGATCTGATTTTAATGAGATTGATATTTTGCCCACAATATGAGCGAATAGGTGAGCAGTTATTATTCTGATAGGTCTCGATACAAGGAGTGAGTTGGGTTTAACGCCGCTTTGAACAGTATTCCAGTTATATCACGGCGTGTCACTTTAATGTGTGAGGAAAGGTCTACTACTTTGGTGAAATCCGTGCTTCATTGGATTTGTTTGTTTGTTTAACACCGCACTCAGCAATATTCCAGCTATATGATGGCGGTCTGTAAATAATCGAGTATGGACCCCGACAATCCAGTGATTGATATCATGAGCATCGGTCCACGCAACTTGGATACGATGACATGCATCAACCAAGTCAGCGAGCCTGACCACCCGATCTCGTTAGTCGCCTCTTTTGACAAGCATGGGTTGCTGAAGATCATTTCTAACCGGATCTTCACGGGTTCTTTCATATAGTACTGACAGCTGTGACCATAAATCTTGTAGCAGCTATTTTTTTGCGTTACAAACCCTAGGATATATCCATGACAATATTAAAACTAGTTGTTGAAATCGCCATATTTCAAATAGTTTCGATGGGTATGATTATTATTAACTAGCAAAATATTAATTATGAACATTTTTGGTATTTAATACACACACCCTCCCCCGACCCCAATAAAAAACCCAACACAAAACACCTGGTTTGAAGACATACATGTGTATCCATTCAGTACATTCAGATGTCAACCAAACCCTGGAATGGTAGACGAGTCAGAAATTCTGCATTGACAGACGTCACAAAGCAACTCAGTATTCAGATAATCTTACAATTAATTTCATTCGCAGTCGAGAATACGCATTATATATCAATAAAAAATAGTTCCTGTGTCGGTCAATTAACGTTTGCATGAAGCTGCATGCGGAAGCATGTCAAAGGATAAGCTGGACAGCGAAACCAAATGGGCCAGGTTCGTTAAAGAAACGACTGTTCCAAGGGAGGCAACTGCGCATACAACTGCTGAGTTTTCGCAGTTGGCAGTCGTCAGCTGCCAAAGTATGCACGCAAAAATACAATGTGTATGCATATCACATTTCCACACACAGACTGTCGTATTTCATTATAATTACATGAGATGTAGGTCTACAACTATTACAAATTTTAGCTGAAAACGCTTTTTCGTAGCATTGGATTTGAACTATTCAAAATAATTAACACGTGTTGTTATAAGATGCCATGTACCGCAAGTTTTAAACAGTATTTCGTGTTTGACAAATACTACAACATCGATAATTCAATATCAATTCATTTCGTTGTGTATAAACATGAACGCCCCCTACCGAGGGAAATGGCTACATAATCATACATACTGCAGTAGTCTATCTAGCTCCATAAGGAAATGTTTACCATTTTAAAAAGTTGAGTTGAGACATGACAAACAAACTCGGTCTATTCCATGTAAATGATCGGCAAAACTCGGGTCGGCTGGTCTGATATTTGCCAACCGCCAGCAGCCAGTCACGCTTTCCTCGACTTCGTGGCTGACCTAATTTACCCGCCCAGCAAGGGCAAATAACATTTGGCTTATATCCGTTGACACAGTGCAAAATACAATCAGCTTTGATTACATGGTGTCACCTTGATTGTCACGTGGAATTAAAATGACGTCACTTGACCTTTCGATCCCCGACATTGGGTATATATGTGATAAGCAAGGTATTCTAAACATGCCTTATCGCAGATCAAATTACACATCAATCGCTTGTTGAAATCACCCCAAGAATTTCAAGTATCTTTAAAATGGATCAATGGATATGTGATACGAACTGGTTGTCAGTGTGAGTAGCCAGTGCGACCCGATGCTACCGCTACGAACTGTGGAATAAATCATTTACCTGGTTTTGTTCCGTGTTTACGAAAGGCTTTGTCGGCCGCCTTCTCTTAGAGTTACTTCCCTTAGATATATTTCCTGTGTGGGATATATCAGTTGAATCTCTGGCCACGTCTATGTCATGTGCTTTTCGGCATTCAAGTGTCGTGTGTGTGCCAAAACGTAATATTTACAAGTATTAAAATTAGGGTGTGTGCGTTTTGCTATTTTTATATTGCAAATATTTAAGATGTAGTTTACGAATGAGATATTATTAAAATGTTAAGAAACGTATTAATATTATCAGTCTGTTAAGAGATTCAATAATAATAAAATTAGAAATATCAGACAAAGGATAGGATATAAAATCAAAAACCAAGGTATTGATTTCACAAAATCGATTTTAGATATATACAAAATACATTTATTGATAAAAATAAGTGAATGAATTATTGATATTACAAATCATTTTTTCATATTACTGAACACAAGTTCGAATTCTATACATTGATTTATTAGAGTCAAATGTATGATATCTATCATTCAAATCTTGGTTCCTGAAAATAATGAATTCTCCATGAAATGTCATTCCGCAGTTGGGGGCACGGGTGGCCAAGTCTAAAGCGCCGCGATTCGCTCTGCAGAGTTGCGTCCCCTGGTCACGCCAGAAGCCTATGAATGTGGGTTCGAATCCCGGTTCGCCCCGATTATGTTCCTACGTTTGTCAGTACCGTACCCATGCTCGTGGATGTCATCTAAGTGGAAAACGTCTGAGACTTGCATCACTTCGGACTTTGCTCCCTCATCAAGCGGACACTCCTATTGAATTCAGGCCTGGAATACTGTTCAAAGCGGCGTTAACCCCAACTAACTCACTCATACCGCAGTTAACAGTATAGTACGAACACCCGGGCTAGATTCCCCACACGGGTATAATATGTGAAACCCATTTCCTATGTCCCCCGCCATGATATTGCTGGAATATTGCTAAAAGCGACATAGAACCATACTCACTCCATCGTCACATTGAGGATCCACGCTCCCCCAACTCACACGCCGTAAACATCCAGGTTAAAGTTGGTCTTCAACAATCCATGCTTGTTAGAGGCGACTAACGGGATCGGGTGGTCAGGCTCGCTGACTTGGTTGATGCATGTCATCGTATCCCAATTGCGTTGATCGATGGTCAAGCTGTCAATGACTGGATTGTCTGGTTCAGACTCGATTATTTACAGACCACCGTCATATAGCTGGAGTATTGCTGAGTGCGGCGTTAAACAACACACAAAGAAATCACGCGCCGTGTTCCTAGAGGGGAATCCAGGTTACAATTGGTCTATAGTGACAATTGTTTGTCGTGCATTGCGCCTAAATGGAAAGGCTCGATGATGGATTATATCAATCACTGGTTTGTCTGGTCCAGAATCGAATACACTGGAACAACCACAAGCTCCAGAGTCGTGAAAAAGGATGTACCGCGTGAATCGCTGTTGCGTGCTGCACGATAAATATGTTGATGCTCGCCACACACGTGCCCCATACTTCGCGGCAAGCATTGACCAGGGATCTTTTCTGTTTCATGTGTCCAAAACGAGTATTTAATCTATCGCTTGGAAGTTTTTAGTCCATGCTGACGGTTGGTTGGTTGGTTGGTTTGTTGTTTAACGCCGCACTAAGCAATATTCCAGCTATAATGACGGCGGTCTGTAAATAATCGAGTCTGGACCAGACAATCCAGTGATTCATATCATGAGCATCGATCCACGCAATTGAGATCGATGACATGCATCAACCAAGTCAGCGAGCCAACCGATCCCGTTATAGTCGCCTTTACGACAAGCATAGTCACCTTTTACGGCAAGCATGGGTTGCTGAGGACCTATTCTACCCCGGATCCCATGCTGGCGGGAGTAATAGGACAGATATACAGCCCTGAACCAGGACACACATGCTTGTCTGTTAATTTTTCTCATTTTCTAAAGTGTTATCGAATAATTGCAGTATAGTTTGTTTGTTTGTTTGCTGTTTAACGCCACACAGCTATATGACGTCGATCTGTAAATATTCGAGTCTGGACCAGACAATCTAGCGATTGATATCATGATATATCATCGATCAACGCAGTGGAGATACGATGACATTCATCAACCAACGCACCGAGCCTGACCAGCCGATACCGTTAGTCGCCTCTTACGACAAGCATGGGTTGCAGAAGACCTATTCTTACCCGGATCTTTAGGGTAAATTTTAATATGGGACAACATAATGTAACACAACAATATGCTTTATTTTCTAAGATTATAAAGATATACAACTATTTGAAAGTATTTGATAGTAGGTTTCACACTGTTCTGTATCATGCTGCGCTGTAGCCGGGATCGGTTACGACATGCCCTCCCTGTTGGCAAAGCACTATCGGGAACCCCGTGAAGATCCGGTCACAATGCATGTGTCGCCGCGAGTCATAATGTTAGCTCCTTGGTTAAAGAAGAGATCAACAAGTTTTTTTTGCTCTTTATTGTGTAATAATGTTTCCCCCATGCTTGTAAAAAAGCATCTTCTCGAGGAAGGGGAGTTATTAAGTCCAGTTTCCACCCTTGCCGAACTAGACTGGAATTTTTGGCCTCGGTCGCATTGCCACCAGGTTATTACGAGTTGTGTCCCTTCTATGCCTCTCCTATGGACCAATCAGATTCCTACTCTTGTATCACTTGCATTTGCTTCAAACAAAATGGCGGCGCCCAGTCAACACGATGTGATCAATAATCAAGATCTATATTGTGATAAAACGGGTCATACAACGCAAAGTGCATCAAATCACGTGAGCACATTGATTAAAAGCCGCGCCAGCTTGGTTGATGAATGTTTTAGAAAATCGATGCTCTTGTCAATGACAGGTTTGAATTGTCTAGACTTGATTATTAGTAGAGCCCAGACTCGAATACTGCCCAGTGCCGTGTTAAACAAACAAAACTGCCTTGTTACTTAGGTGCTTCAAACATGCCTTTCATAACATTTTTATTACCAACAAAATTCTCATGACCTTCCCTCATATGGATATAGTGCAGACCTCTTTCAGTTTTTAAACCATGCATTACCAAAACATCTAAAATATGCAAAATTTGCATTACCTGAGTGCAGTCATAAGGGATTGAATTGTTTCCCTCTAAAGGAGCCCCCATATCAAGGCACTTTACAAGGGATGATGAAGACTCGGGGTAGAATAGTTCTTCAGCAACCCATGCTTGCCATAAAAGGCGACTATGTTTGTCGTAAGAGGCGACTAACAGGATCGGGTGGTCAGGCTTGCTGATTTGGTTGATGCATGTCATGGCATCCAAATTGCGTGTCAATCACAGGATTGTCCAGACTCGATTATATACAGACCACCATCATATAGCTGGAATATTGCTGGGTGGGAGAGCAAAATGGGCTTCACACAGTGTACCCATGTGGAGGAGTGAGCGAGTTGGGTTTAACGCTTTTTTTAACAGTATTCCAGTTATATCACAGCGTGCCAGCTTAATGTGGGAGGAAAGCCCGAAGTGATGCATGTCTCAGACGTTTACCATTTCGGTGAAACCCACGAGGACGGGTATGGTGCTGACAAACCTAGAAACATATTCGGGGCAACAGGGATACGAACCCACAATCATAGGTTTCTGGCGTGACCAAGGGATGCAACTCTGCATAGCAAATTGCAGCACCTTAGACGACTGGGCCACCCGTGCCCCCCATATGTGCTTCACACAGTGTACCCATGTGGAGGATCAGCTGGAGTCTTGGTGTGACAAGCCTTTGATTTAACCACTAGGTTGATACAGTTACCCAACACCCTCTTCCTCATACACAGAAAACAGAAGATTTACACAAGAAATATTATGAATTTTATTTAAAAATAATTCTTATGAATACACTGTACTACAGGTCTCTTTGAATGTGGCCCTAAATGAGGGATGTTAATTTACAATGAAGCACTTTGTGTAAAACATGACCATGTGTGAGATAACACCATACAGGGAGGTGTGTACATATAGATGCTCAAATACATCACTCACTGTACAAGAAGTATACAGTAACTTTCCAGAAGGATGAAGTGGGAACTATAATACATGTAGTTGGTGAGACTGAGCGAGCGAGTGAGTGAGTGAGTTGGGTTTAACTCCGCTTTTAACAGTATTCCAGTTATATCGTGGCGTGTCAGCTTAATGTGGGAGGAAAGCCCGAAGTGATGCAGGTCTCAGACGTTTATCACTTCGGTGAAACCAACGAGCACGGGTATGGTGCTGACAAACCTAGAAATATAATCGGGGCAAACCGCGATTCGAACCCACAATCATAGGTTTCTGGTGTGCCCAAGGGACGCAACTCTGCACAGCGAATCGTGGCGCCTCAGACGACTGGGCCACTTGGCCCCAGAGTGAAGAGTGAATGGTCTGACCCTGTTTTACTTTTTGAATACGGTATGTCTTTTGTTCTCCCCACTCAGCAATATTCCAGCTATATCACTGCAGTCTAATTAACAGTGTGCCAGATAAACCAGTGATTGATATCATGAGCAACACCCACACCCTCAGCTTCTATGACACATCATCCACCTGATCCATGACAGTTGCCCCTTCTGATCAACATGGGTTGCTGGGGTCCAATTCTAACCAGGAATCTAAGTTGTAGCACTATGGAAGTTTTAGCAGTTTTTTTAATGCCAGGTTTTTCCCACTG